TAACTGGCACTTACCCAATAATTATTTAAACTTACTATCAATTACAAAATTTCTCGACTTCTCCATAAGTTCAATATTTAGGTTATTTTTTCCCCTATCAGTAAAATTCATTTTTCGATTCTTATAGATCTCATATGTGCTTTTAATTATTGTGTTAATTTACCATTGTTTGATATGTATCATGCTGTTTGGTATATATTGGCCAAACTGAAAAAGCGCTGAAATTTCTTGTCAGGGAATATGAATTAAATTTCGAAAGGAAAAAAGAATTTTTTTAGCTAAGTATGGCGGTTACTTAATTACATTTGGGATCTTCAAAAATTATCAGTACAGCTTCGTCATTAAATCAACTGGGTTCTTTTGAACAATTTCAAATCATTAATAATTTTTCTTGTTTACTTAACAATATTAATTTTCCAATCTCGCTCTTCCAAATGCTTTCAAATTTCTAATACCCTTACGTTTCATTATTATTTTACTCAATACATCATGTTACATTCTTTTCTTTACAAAATCGTTTCACTCCTCCCACAAATAAAATTTCCTTTCCCTGTCATGAAAAATCTAAATAATGCAATAAAAATTGTTATTCTTGAATTACACTTTTAATCGAAACATATGGTGGGGAAGGGTTAGTTTCGAAATATATATTATTTTGTTATTAGAAACAATTAAAAAAAATGCATTACGAAATATATATTATTTTGTTATTAGAAACAATTAAAAAAAATGCATTAAGACAAGCAAAAGTATAAATTACTGACCTCTATAATGAGCTGTTCATGCCACCATACTTGAGATAAAAATTCTGTAACATTTTATTGATTACGCCTCTCTCTTAAAATACTTAGGTTAATGTTTATAGCACTAAAGTGGTGCATTATGTTTAATTTAGAGGTAAAATATTCTTTAAGGTTTTATTTCATTTATAACTGAATTCTATTCTCAAAAACTACATTTTTCACTCTTCATATATCGAAAACGTTGCTGATATGAAATTCCGTACGTTGGAAAATCTCTGAAGAGAATTCGGAGGAATCTGCAGAAGGAAGAGCACCAGGGTGGAGCAAAGCAAGACATTCTGAAAAGTCACCGTAATGTGGTGCCATCTATCAAAGCGAGGTTTAACCAGATCAGTCATGTAACTAGATAATATTATATAGATAATATTTGAAAGTTGCAACGTATAATTTTCAATATATGTTAGATTTTGCCATGTTTTTCTCATAAAATGTAACTTTCTCAATATCTGTTAAAAATGTATAAATTTTCATTTCACTTTTCATTAACTTTTTTTCTGTTTCATTCCTTCTCTTTCTCGTTTCTGTTGTAGCTACATGGTAATAGGAAAATTTTTGGTGTACATTTTCCTGAATGCATTTATAAAGTTCTGGCCTAAAAAGGTAATTTTATTGAAAGAAACTGGTTATATATTAAGTAAAACGCTATTCCTCTTAGGGTGCCCACCAGCGGCCGAGCAGTATATTTTTATAAGTATCAGAACACTGGTAATTGGGTCCGAGGTTTGAATACCGTGAATGGGCTGGCTGCATGGGCGTTTTCATGGTTTTCCCCATGTGTAATGTGTATACGAGCCAGTTTCCCTTAGAAAGTGCTCCACTAAGGCATCCCTTCCCTTAGGCTGATAGCCCTTGAGGCTTTGCCATAACTACATACACATCTTTTTCTGTTAGGCCCAGCAAGGCCGAGCGGTAAAGTCACTGAGCATTAGCAGTTCGGTTCGAATTTCGAATTCTGCGAATGGATAGGCTGCATGGGTGTTTTCCCCATGTGTAACATGTATACGAGCCAGTTTTCCTTAGAAAGTCCTCCACGAAGGTATCCCTCCCATTAGGCAGATAGCCCTCTGGCTTTGCCGTAATTACATAAACCAAACCTTTTTCTGGCTGCAGGCCACGAGGTACGAATTCCCGTGCCGCAGTACTATCGCATATTAATAAATATTCGATGCCTAACCTGTAATAGTAGTTACCTGTAATAAATATGCGATGCCTAACCTGTAATTGTATAGGGTGTAAATAGCATTTTAGATAAAAAAGTAGTTCTAGAGTGGCAAGGAGTAGGGTTAATCACTCTACTTCCTGACAGGGAAAGGAAATTTCATTAGTGGGAGGAGGAAAAAGACTTTATACGGGAATTAATGTAGTGTGATGTGTTGAGCAAAGTAGTAATGAAATGTGAAAGTATTAAAAATTTAAAACCATTGGGAAGAGCGAGACTCATTGTCGGCGTCAGCTAACTGTCCGTTTCGGCTAAGTGTCCTTGTCGTATAAGTGTCCGTGTCGGCTAAATGTTCTGTCAGCTAAGTGTCCATGTCGGCTAACTGGTATCGGTTAAGTGTCCCGTCAGCTAAGTGTCCATGACCACTTGAGTATAAGTTAGCCTTGGTTAATATAACATGCCAGATAACGACTATTGGATGAGTTAAAGTGGCAAGAAATCAACATAATATTCATAAATTTGCAGGACTAGTTATGAAGGTTTCTTCAGCCGCAAATGACAAAAGCGAAGCCAATGGTAAGAAAGAGAGGAAAGAAGTCAAGCTACTGGCACTATCTGTTGATGCAATTTAAAAACAATACAATGTAAATGTAGGATTTTAAGGTATTTCACAGTTGTTTCAGAGTTAATTTAGATCAGTATCAATTTACAAGCAATAAATTACATAATCAATATAAGAGTTGCTTACAACTTTGCAATTAACGTCATCTTATGAACTAAAGTACAAAAATATGCTAGTTTTTGATTAGCTACACCTACACCAAAAAGCAATGATAAAATATTGACAAATGCACAATATCACCAAAAAGTATTTATGCAGAAATCCTGGCATGAGCACAGTACTCCTCAGACTGCTTTCCACCTTTCTGAATATTTTTGCCACAGTGACTGCAGATTATAATTCCTTCCATGAGAATTTCAATGTTTTAGCATAGCAATGGACCATATACTGCACTTTTGTCATCCAGCAAAAATTTAAAATTAACTTTTTGCATGCATAACACAACTCATATAAAAACATATTTTTCTGTCCCCATTTTCGAATTTCGGCTGCAAGGTTGCACAATCCACTGGCATTTTTTTAGTAAAAAGAGGCAACTGTACACATTAAGATAATAATAGCACACACACACAAAAAAAAAAAAAAAAAAAAAAAAAAAAGAACTGTGCATGTCTTGTATGAAAAAAAAAAAAAATGTAAAAAAATAAGCTACACTACATTACCGAAAAAGATACCTAAAGAAATGTTTTCTATTAAACATTGGCAAAAATTTCACAAATGCTCTTCACAGTAACTGATAAGTTAATGACTTTTTTCATGGGTATGTGTATAGAAAATATCAAAAACACATGCTAATATAATTTGCATGTGCCTCCACTTTATGTATACAATACAAGTAGTTGTTTAACATTGGTTTGCATGTCCTTAAATGCTAATAAAAGTAAAGAAATCCATGATTAATAGTGCGTCATTGTTATTTGTGTGGCTAAGTTTGTCTTGCAGACAATACTAAATAATTAAATGCTCTTGGAAATACTTTATATTTGCCCTAATTCAGAAAAGCAATATTTATAAGTGTCTTATCCAGACACATATAAATAAAGCTCTTATTTTATTTAGGTAGAATATTTTTGTGTGTTCCAATACATTTTAATGTATGGATAATTTTGCATGTATGCATTTGTAAACTCACATCTATGCATTTATACTAAGGGCAGGATTATTTCTTTAGAAAAGCTTATTACATAATAAACCACAGTTTTTACAGTAAATGGCAAAGAAAACTATCACTGCTTATGAAAAATGACACATAAAATATCTAAAATGTACTTGGTCCCTATGTCTTATTCAGTTAAAAGTATCTTAGCATTGTTGTTGTTACCAGTCTCAATTTTCAGCACATACTTTAAACATGGCAAGGAGTCATATGCACCTGTCGTTGGCAAGCGCTTTAAGCATCATATAGGTGAAAGCTTGACTTAAGCTCAGTTCTGCTCCCAATTTTGAGAAGGAGAGCATCCCAAGATATAGGTCCAAGGGTCTCCCTCCACCAACCACTCCAGAGGACTTTCGGCTCAGCGCAAACTTACAGTGCCCCCAGGCTGCAAAGATACTATACATTTACAAACATCCATACCCTCTCAGGATTCGAACACCAGTTAGGATCACTAACCACTATATTTTGGTTGAATGCCGTATCTTAGCATTAATAATGTTAACAGAGATTAATGCTATTTTGATTAAATTATGGATCTAAAGTGTTATAATTTAATTTATGCATATAAAGTTGCAAAATATCCTCAAATTTTTGTGTCAAGTGGTTCTTTTTGATTATTTAATTTATGAGAATATTAGGAAAAGTGCATAAGAATAATGATAAACATTTGTACATAAATTCTAAGCAACTAACTTAGCATTAAAATACCTGGTACTCTTCTTCTGTTATCAGGACTGGGTTCAGAAATGTATGCATGTATGCACATACATACAGACGGATGTGTTTATACATGTGTGTATATATGTTACGGTGAAACACTGAAATTTGGAGAATGTCGACTTTCACCGGTGAATGTCAACATTCACATAGTCTCTTGGTGTATGTCCGAAATATTTTCCAAATATTCTTATTTCTGACTTACACCGGTTAATGTCGACATTCACCATGTACTAATGGTGAATGTTGAACATATAACAATATTATAGTTTCTTTTCCGTAATTCAGTCATGAATAAACGCACATGAGAACCTAAAACACACAATACATTCAAAATGAGAACGGAAAATAATAGAAGTTAAAAACTTACTTAATTATACAGTACGTTCTAAATGTGAAAATAAAATAACAGTAATAAAAAACTTACTAAATTATGTGATTCAAATCTTATTTATTGCAACAACTTAAACTATTATGGCACTTTATGACCTCTCTTTTCGACTTTCACCAGAGCATATCTGTGATTGTCGACATACATAGGTGAGGGTCCGAATATACAAAAATGTAGTGAAATATTCGGCCTTTCACCGACGTATTTGGTGAATGTTGACATTCTCCAATTTCGGTCTTTCACGGTAACATATATGTACATACATGCAAATGCACACATGAATACCAAGGGTGTAGCTACAGAGGAGCTAGGGCAAACATCTGTTCTTGGGCACACCATCCAGGGACACCAAACTGATGTTACATTTTTCTAGAATGAAATGGTTTCCATTTTTGGCAAACAAGAGGGGCGTGAGATCTTCAACTGTGCCCGGGCGTTGAAAATCCTAGTTACATATCTGCATACATGCAAGAAATATGACATCAGACAAATGTCCACCATTTTTCTCAATACAGAGATTGGCCCTTTGTAACACGTTTTTATTACACCACGTAATGTTTCTGGTTGAAGGCTCAGTATTTCATTTCGAATATTCTGCTTCAGCTATCTAATAGTCTCTGGTTTATTAACATACACTTTGTCTTTTAAATAGCCAAATAAAAAAAGTATTCTTCTCTGTCTTTGGCCACAAAAAGTTTTCAATCATTGTTCTGTAAGAAGCTCCGGATAACGTTTCCAGCGCTCCATCCTCATTTGCGAAGAAATATGGGCCGATAACTCTATTGGCCCGCACCAAACAGTACACTTGAATTAAAATATTGCCGATATTTACACTGCTTCATGACAACTGATTGTTGACAAGATTAGAAAAAACTCGATAATTCTAATGCGTTGTTTTTTTACTGTAGGGTTCCATAATAAATTTCCAAGAATTCAATTATAACCCACAAAAAGAAAAAAAATAATTATATCAAAAAATAAAAAAGCTATTTTTGTTTAACACTGGTAGATCTTATTTAGCCCACCCATTATTAAGAAAATTTTAGAATTTTTTAATGAAATAGCTTGATAATTTGAATATTTTTACCTATTTGGCTCTTAAGACTAACTAATTTATAAGAAAGCCTTTATGCTTATAATTGAAGAATAGAATATACTGCTAATTATGCATCATGTACATTTTTATGCAATTAATTTTTTTATGCCACATAAACGTATATAATTTAATGATATTAATACTTGAACATATCTTTCTTACATTTAGATTTATAATTCTGCATATAAACATACTTACAAGGTCAGGGCATTCGCACCAGGTTGCAGAATTTAGGCGCTGCAAAATTTTTAGAATTCAGAGAAGTAGCATTCAGAAAAATTTGTTGTAAAACTTGTTGTGCAATTTACTCTTTATATATTAATTAATTTTCTGCTTTAACCCTTAAAAAAGTTTTTGGTACCTTTCCATTATGTACCTGCCATGCTTTCTGACACCTGTAACAGAGAAACCAAACATACGGCATGAACCAATAATAGTGCCATCCGGGGATTAAAGTAGTTCCGAATGTTTCACAGATTTCGGCGTCTTGCTTAAATACAGGAGATTGTAAAAACATTATGCATGCAATCTAACTTAATCTGTGATATAAGCATCTCTTGATTTCTAGGAACACTTCATTAAGAATTAATTTGTTACAATTCAGACATCAAATTTCTTGCCGCATATACATACATAGGAAACACTTCCGCAGAGAACCCAGTAAATGTAAAAATGCAACGGCGCCAACGAGTTCTCTGCAGATGAAAGCCCCCATAAATATTTGACATTTACCTCATATATGCAAAATGAAGAGGGCATAGAAATTTATATTGCTCTGGAGCTGCTAGCCAGTGCTTAACAGTTTGAAGAAGTTTCTAATTTAAAAGTGGTACTTCCACAACTGCGAGTACATTACTACACACTGTGAGTAACACACTTAATTGTGTATTTACAATTAAAAAAACTGCCAAAATGCATGGCAGATGCATAACGGAAAAATGAAATCTTTTCAAATATGAAATCATTCCCTTGTTTTAAGTCAGTGTTCCTTTAAAATCAATTGTACATAAATAAAATCTTTATCTTGTGCAAATAAATAAATGTTTATGTATTCTGATCAAATGGTAAATTACATACCTTAAATAATAAGGTTCCTTAGTTACAGACATAAACCCTACTGCTGAGGTAAGTTCTTATAAATGTAAGTTATCCTCAAAAGACATTATCCATCTCATGTGCATAATTAAACGTCTTCAAATTCTTTTGTCCCAATGATATGTTACATACATAGATCATAAAATCTCTTAGATACACATATAAGTCATTTAAACCACTTTTTAGCATAAATAAAGTTTATATACTAGGTGCCCCTTTTAGGTGAATATGCATATGCCTATTTAAGTTACTCTTATGTCTAAATGACTTGTTACATACCTCACATACATGAGATTTATCTCCAGTGTGAATAAGCATATGCTTGATTAAACTAGTCTTTTGACTACATGGTTTCCCGCATAATTCACACACATAAGGTTTCTCTCCTGTGTGAATTAGCAAATGCTTATTTAAAACCCCCTTTTGTCTAAATGATTTGTTACATACTGTACACAAATGAGGCTTCTCTCCTGTGTGAATAAGGATATGCTGATTTAAATTACTCTTTGCAGTAAATGAAATGTTACATACTTTACAAACATGAACCTTTTTTCCTCTGTGAATACTCGTATGATTGCTTAAACTACTATTTTGACTGAATGACTTCTTACATACTTCATACACATCAGATTTTCCTAATGTATGATTAAGCATATGCTCACTTAAATCACACTTTTGTCTAAATGATTTGTTACATAATTGACATACGTAAGATTTCTGTGTAGTGTGTGTAAGTGTATGCCTGCTTAAAGCATACTTTTGGGCATATGACTTTGTGCATATATAACAGACATAAGGCTTCTCTCCTGAGTGAATAACCATATGACTCTTCAAATGGCCCTTTTGACTAAATGCCTTTTTACATACTTTACATACATGAGGTTTCTCTCCTGTATGCATATGCATATGGTTACTTAAATGGCCCTTTTGACAAAATGTCTTTTTACATACTTTACATACATGAAGTTTCTTTCCTGTATGCATATGCATATGGTTACTTAAATAACTCTTTTGACTAAATGACTTTTTACATACTTCACACATATGAGGTTTCTCTCCTGTGTGAATAAGAATATGTTCATTTAAACTGCGCTTTAAACTAAATGCAGTGTTACATATATCACAAACATGAGGTTTTTCTCCTGTATAAATAAGCATATGCTCATTTAAATTACTCTTTTGACTAAATGACTTGTTACATACATCACAGGTATGAGGTTTTTCCCCTGTATGAGTACGCATATGGTTGTTTAAATTATCTTTTTGTCTAAATGACTTATTACATATCTCACACACATGAGGTTTCTCTCCTGTGTGAATAAGCATATGTATGTTTAAACTATTCTTTTGACTAAATGATTTCTTACATATTTCACATACATGAGGTTTCCTTCCTTTATGAACAAGCAAATGTTTACTTAAATAACCCTTTCGTGTAAATGAGCTGTTACAAACCTCACACACATAAGATTTGTCTTCTGTACTGGTATGCATATGCTGTTTTAAAATATTGCTTTCTCCAAATGATTTGTTATGTAACTCCTAAAACAAGAAATTTCTGCACTATATAGATAACTATAACCAACAGCTTTGATATCATATAATTTGCCAGATATCTGATGATGATGTTTATATTTTGGAGTGATGTAATATAGGTTGCAGAACAGAAAGTTTACCAAAGTAGTGCTGGATGTTTCATAGTAAATTTCGGTGTCTTGCTTAAATACACATTATGCATGAAACCTAACTTAATGTGTGATATAAGCTACTCTTGATTTCTAGGAAAACATCATTAATCATTAATTTGTTACAATTCAGACATCAAATTTGTCACATATACATACATATTCCACAACATTTATGTCATATATGCAAAATGACGAGCACATAGAAGTGTATATTGTTCTGGAGCTGCTAGTCAGTGCTTAACAATTTTAAGAAGTTTCTAATTTAACAGTGGTACGTCCACAGCTGCAAGTACTTACTGTGGTACTTCCATATTTCACTGTACGCAATGAAGTATTATGCTACAGACAATAAAAATTTCATATTAATTTACCACAAAAGCTGCTGATTCATTACTTCAACCGACATGTTATACAGATTTACAACATTATCGTCAACTTTTGTGGAATACTCGGTTATCAAACGAATCCAGTGCTACAGCAAAAAATATTAATTCTTAATTTTTAATCCTCGTAGAAATTTTTCGTCTACAGGAAAAGTTTTAGAGCTGTACAAGCTTTTAAACTTACACCAGTATCATTCCTTATTTACATGGACGACAGAGATGGTGCATTCCCTATTCCAGCCCTCTGATGTGCAGTACAGTCAAAGAATATGTATAGACTTTCTTTGGTACAGTACAGGCCAAAAAGTGGTGTGGTATGCCGTCTGTCAATCCTACGTTTTTCGTAGTGCACGTTATGATCGAAGAATTATTAAATATTTATTGTTGATTATTGCACGCATTTTGCATAACTTAAGAAGTACAAAATAAATGCTTTGTTGCACGAGCTTACGAGTTAACAGAGTCACGTTTGCATATATTCCTATAACATACTCGCCGTAGCCCCTGCTGTGAAAATGCTGAAGCTGATCGACTTGCTACGTAAAAACGTCACTTGTTTGGTCACATGACAAGCCGATTGCATGAATTCTGAAATGTTGTCAGACAGACAGACAGACAAAGTAGACAGATGTCTTGTTTTGTACCCGCTAAGTCTATCTGCACCGATGGGCGAAAAATCAAGCATACGTGCGAAGGAAAGGTATATAGAAAGAGGGGCAATTTCGTATTTGAGGAGAGTAAAAAGGAACTTCGTACATTTTGTACGAGTTCAAAAGGCCAGAAAGAAAAGATGGGACAAAATAAAATTTAAATTAAATGGCCCAAAAATAATAGAGGGGAAAAAAAAAAGGGCCTATAGAAAGAAAAGGAAAAGAAGTAGAAAATACCCTAAAATACGATTGTGTCCATGAGTGTAGTTAAGGAGTTCATCTGCAAAAATTCGTGTCTTTAAGAAGCAAACTTTAGCTAAGTTAAAAAAAATAATAAATGAATGATTTCCTACATGGTAATGTGTATGCCGTTATCTTGAGACCTAACAAGAAAAGACATATATCATCACAGAGATGTACATAATATTTTAACTAAAGTAACATTAAATATTACCGTTCCCAAAAAATTCATGTATATTTCATAAAAACAGTAATTGACAAAATCATAAATCCATACACAGTGTGAGAGCATTTCAGCAAAAATAAATTACACAGTTTATTTTTCTTAAATATTAGTTAAATATAAAATTAATTTATTAATTTAACCGTTGTAATTTATTATAGTACAACTTTAACAAATTCCGTCACACTGTATTTTTATTTGCTCATAATTCTAAGTTTGAGACCTGAAAAAAAAAAAAAAAAAAGTCGGGGATCTTAGTTACAAAAATCACAATCTATACTCATCGATGGTCAAGAGATCCCCATTTTTTCCCTCTCAAGAAATTCCTAAGCACGAAGAGGGGGGCCTCCGAAGGGTGTGAATTGCTGATAAGAACGGACTACTGATAAGGAATGTGGCGTCTCTACGGAATAGTTACGAAGAAAAGAACCACATGACTTGCTACTATTACTAACTATTGTATAATGCTAGAATCTTATGAAAAATAATAAATAAAAAAATTTAATTGCACTCTAGTGATAGAGAAACATATATTGTATAGAGAACAGAATGTTACTTATCTGAATATTCCGTGTCAGGGCCTCTTTTGGATTTCTCGTGTTGATAGTAAACAGCTAACAAAAACACCTGAAGTTTCGAATGAAGCGAAGTTTCCTTTTTCAATTTGATGAATGAGACATTGCATAGGAAAGGTGCATTAAACTTTTTTAGAGAGTTGAAAATATTTACTGAAACAGTTATTAAAAAAATTTCGGAGCTATGTTTAGACACTGCCTCCAGCTTTCGTGATCGCAGCGCCAGCCCACGAACTCCGAACTAGCCATCGAAATTCTCCAGTCGCAGAGAGTATTATCAGTTACAGTGAAAATTTTCAGTATAGTTAGAATTTTGATAAAGTTTTTACTAAAAATTTTACAAAGCTATTTAATTTTACATAGCTATTTAATCTTAAATATATAGCAATGAAAATTATCTATATTTACGGTTACTATGAAATGATAAGTAAATAAAACTTAGCTTCCTCGCAATGGCTTGAATGTAGTATCTCTGAAGTGTTGTGAAACCGTTGTAAAACCTAAAGCCGGCAAGGTTACCACTCGCCCAGAAGGATTTAGACCTATTAGTTTGCTTCCCGTTTTGGGGAAAATTTTTGAACGCATCATTTATCACAGAATCCATCCATACTTAGAGAAACTACCAGAAGAACAGTTTGGTTTCCGAAAAACGCTCTCCACCACGAAACAATTGGTCAGACTTTCTAAGTTCATCGACAATGCATTACATAACAGACAAAATGTGGCTTTACTCATGCTAGACGTGGCCAAAGCTTTTGACCGCGTCTGGCACGAGGGTCTAATTTTCAAGCTCCGTTCCCTTGGCTTCACCAAAATTTTAACGTAACAAACTATTCATTCCTGAAAGGCAGAAGTTTTCATGTTTCTATTGGAAATGAGATATCTGAAGTCAAAAGAATTCACGCCGGCGTCCCGCAAGGGTCAATTTTAGGTTCGATCTTATATCTTTCCTTTGTGACTGACTTCCCTAAAACAGGCTTTAACTACAATTACTTCATTGGCTGTTATGCAGATGATACGGCGCTTGCTGTAAAATCTATGTGTCCTAATCAAGCTGTCAGGAAACTTCAACAAATCTTGCCGCAAATAGAATTTTGGTGTACCAAATGGCGTATTTCAATTAACGCAGATAAATCCAAGCTGCTCATTATCCGAAAGAAGAACTCTGCCACTAAAATCACGGAAAGCTTAAACTATTTAATACAGAAGTTCCTAGAGTACGCAAGGCGAATTACCTAATCGTTATTATTAATGATAAATTTTCTTGGAAGGATCATCTGACTCATGTCAGGGGAAAACCACTAGGAGTCATTCAAAGTCTCAACCCACTTATTAACGAGCACTCTAAACTGGACTTAAGAAGAAAACGGCACTTATACATCTCTGTTATACGGCCAATCTTCACGTATGCTTCCCCTGCGTGGGCATCAGTTAGAGACAGGGACATATCTAATTTACAAATTACACAGAACAAGTTGCTGCGCACCTTCACGAATGCGCATTATTTTGTACCTAATAGGACTTTACACAAAGATTTGAAAATTGAAACTGTCATAGAGCATCTTCATCGCCTAATCTCCATCTTTTTCCAGAAAGCAGTTACATGCCCTCACATGACAAAATTACATGTATTTGACTACATTCCACTACCGGAAGATAAAGAGTTACGACCGCTGGCAGCCCACCTAGCCAGAGATCTGAACTTTCCTACATAAAGTAGAACATTTCTGTATATAGTTGTACATATTAGTATATAGCTTTTATGAATACTTTTCTATTATTTCATCGAAAACTTCTATATGATTTCTGATCTTCCAAACTGCATTTTTGTCACTGTAACTCTATATTTGCAAATGTATGCCTTTGAGAGTTTGTATTCTTACAAACTCGTTTTTGTCATGTAGTATACTTTCACAGTATCTTATCTTAAAAACTCATTATTGCTTTACCTTGCACAGCTCCGTCTGCGGCGCGTCTTCTTGTCTGGCCTAATTCCTAGGCTTGCGGCATCTTTCTCTCCCCCCTTCTGCCTCATCTCATTCTCTTAACTCCTACCACGTCAGACTTCCTACCGTCATGTACCGTGGCCTTCGAGAATAGATGGCCTGGTCAGCTGCAGAATCACGTGATTTGAAGTCACGTAGGCGTCTGAACTTTCACTCTTCGCACTGCATTGTGTGGACACTGCAAGCGAAGACTTCTTATTACGTTGATTGCGTGCTGTATATTTTTATTATTCGTGTGTTTTTTATTGCTAAATTTAAGTAATGTTGTTAAGGATATTTTCGTTTTTAAATTGAGATTACTAGTTAACTTATTTGTTAACAAGAATAACGATCGACGTCTACGTAGAGCTGTCTTCATCATGCCTGCACGATGTTGCGTTCCAGCATGCAAATCCAATTACGATGGCACTAATGAATATGTATCAGTATTCAAATTTCCAAAAGATACAGTAAAACGGGATTTATGGATCAAAAAAATTCCAAGGAAAAATTTTATTTCAAGTGCTCGCAGCGTTGTGTGTGAAAAACATTCCGAAAAGATGATATTATTCGCTATGATTATTTACCAACAAACGAAGGAACTTTTATTCAGATGTGTAGAGGGCATCCTAAATTAAATAACGATGCTTACCCATGCATTTTTTTTTCTGGTTGTCCAAAATACTTATCTGAAAGTCCAACCCCTCAGAGGATGAGCAGGGAGGAGAAAAGAGTTAAGATGGAGAAGCATATTTTTAATGAATTTTTGAGAAAGGACAAAATAGCATCACTTGAGGATTTTTCTTCTATGTTACCAAATAAATTAAATATTTCAGATACTTCAAATATTATTTTACATAAATCTGTTGCTAGTATTTATATTTTATTGCTTAGTTTTCATCCATATCCCAAAATTGAGAAAAGTATCTTTGCATCGCTTCATATACTGCAATTATCAATACCAGTTTATCTAGGAGATAAAGTTGTTCCAGTTGAAAGTAAAGAAGAACCAGTAAGTTGAACAGCATTCTTTGCTGGTCAAACTTACCGAGATATATGTACAAAACATTAACATGTTTGATGTTCATGAAACTTGTTTAATGTGTGGAATTCCCTTTTCTAGCAGATTAAAAAAAATAATGAGCACCATTTCAAATATTTGTTTAAACAATTATACTAAAGTTCTTCAAAATAATATGCATACAAAAATTGATGAAAGGAAACTTAAAAAAGTCAAGAATACGTGATGAAAAGATATGACTATGTAAATGACATTGTTTTATTTTTTAAAAATAGTGTACTAAATATGATGCAGTTCAAATATATTTTCAATAATGTATCTTTTACATTTAAATTTGTTAATCCTTTTGCTGTTTCCTTATTATTTGATAATACTTCATATTTTTCAAAATAAATTATCAATTGCAATTAATTATTGCTTCAGTATACTAGTACAACTTACACAGTATTTGCTAATTAGACAGAAATGATGGTTTGTTCTATGTATAGTTGTTTTGAGGTTTTCGTTGGCAAATTTATTGATTTTACGCTTGTGTGAAACATTATATGGATGGCTTTTATTTGTAAATATATTATTTATTATGCATCTACATCTAACTAATAATGTAAATATTATTAAATGATGTAAATATTATTATAATTATTGCTATAGATAACATATAAATATGTGAAAATTATTCGTTTTCTGTAATGTTGCAGCAAAATTGTCATTTATTTAATTTACAAAGTTTTGAGATTTAAATTTTTTCTGTGGCTTTTCTGTTCATTTTATTAGATAGTCATTTAAATGAATTAAAAATACATTTGCATAATGTTTGGAAGCTCTGAAATATTTATAGTTTTAAGGAA